GAGGGGGGATTTGATAGCAGCCTTCAATTACCTGAAGGGGGGTTCCAAAGAGGATGGAGCTTAGCAGGTCTCAGTGGTGACAGATGACAGAACAAGAAGCAATGGACTCAAGTTGCAGTGCGGGAGGTCTAGGTTAGATATTAGGAAACACTATTTCACTAGGAGGGTGGTGAAGCACTGGAATGGGTTCCCTAGAGAGGTGGTGGAATCTCCATTCTTAGAGGTTTTTAAGGTCAGGCTTGACAAAGCCCTGGCTGGGATGATTTAGTTGGGGATTGGTCCTGCTTTGAGCAGGGGGTTGGACGAGATTACCTCCTGAGGTCCGTTCCAACCCCGATATTCTATGATTCTATGAACATGACTGGATCCCAAATTATGGGCCTGCAGGGCCTGCTGGCCTAGTGGGAACATATTTTGCAGAAGGGCAATCTGGCTCAGGATCATGTCCATGAGTTGCCTCTGTATCTCTTTGTCTTTTTCCAAGCTTTTCTTTGCCAACCTAGTGAGGAGGGCTTTAAACTAGTTGCAAAGGGGGTAGGTGGCAAAAGCCCATAGGTAAAAATAGAAAAAGGCAACCTTAACAGAGGGTATATGTTGGTGGGGGGGCATGGAAAATTAGAATAGGATCATAGGAGAACAAGAAGGAAATCAGTGAAGGAGACAGCTCGATATTTTAGATGTTTATATGCAAATGCAAGGACTACGGGGAATAAAGAGGAAGAACTGGAAGTATTAGTACACAAGCTAAATTATGACTTAATTGGCATGATAGAGACTTGGTGGGATAAATCTCATAATTGGAATATTGGTATAGAGGGATATTGCTTGTTCAGGAATGGCAGGCAGGAAAAAAAAGGGAAGTGGTGTTGCATTATATATCAAGAATATATACAATTGTTCTGAGGTCCAGAAGGAGGCAAAAGGCAGACCAGCTGAAAGTTGCTGGGTGAAGATAAAAAGGGGAGGGAGGAGGGAAACAGGGGCGATGTCATGGTAGGGGTCTACTGTAGAACAGCAAATCTATACGAGGAGGTAGAGGAGGCATTTCTAGAACAAATAACAGAAATATCCCAAACCAAAAACCTGGTAGTAATGGGGGACTTAAACTACCTGTTGGAAAAGTAATACAGCAAAATGCAGAATTTCCAGTAAGTTCTTGGAACACACTGGGGACAACCTTTTGTTTCTTAAAGTGGAAGAAGTAACCAGGTGAACAGCCGTTTTAGACTTGATTCAGACGATCTGGGAAGAATTGGCAGCTTGGTGACTCTGGGCAGCTGGCCTGTAACTCCCGCTTTCCACAGCAAGCACAGGCTGCGGTGGTTGCTGTGAGCACAGGGTGATGATGGGCAGGTGGGGTAGCTACACCTCTGGGCAGTGAGGGGGGAGGAGAGGAAGGAGTAGTGCCTTTCCCCGCTCTTAGCCCTGCTCCCGGTGTGTGCTGGTCCCACTCGAACTGGCACCTGGGTTCACTGTGGCAAGCTCCCCACGCAGCCTGAACTGGCTGCTCATGCCTCCTGACTCCTGGAACAAAGGGCATGAGGCAGGGACTTGGGACTCAAACACACAAAGCTCCCAGCACTGATGCTCCCAGGACACCAAGGCCCCCGCACTCCCCACATTGCAGAGTGAACCCCACACCCAGCGGCCTGGCCAGGGCACCACTGGCCTAGAATGCTGTGCAGCATGACCACCCCACCCAGCTCAGCACAGGACTGCATGCCAGAGCGGGGCACACCCATGGGCTGTGTTGTTGGGGACAGCTGCACCCTGATGGGATCCAGCCCTCAGGCTGCCTGCAAGCAGCTCAAGGAGAGGCAACCAACAAGGCCCAGGAGCCAAGCTGTGACTGCTGGGAGAGCCAGGGCATGGAGGATGGGGCCCCAATCTGCCATGGGACCCAGAAGTCTGCAATACAGTGCTCTAAGCAGGATCGGCAACTCTCCAGAACGTGTTCTCAGGCAGTCCAAGAGTGCCACCTCCAGGGCAGAGGCAAAACTGCAGCCATGAGAGATTTCCCCCACGGGGCATGTTCTCAGCCCTGGGACTGAAAGCAGGGAGCCAGAGTGGTAGCCGTGTTAGTCTGTATCAGCAGAAAGAACGAGGAGTACTTGTGGTACCATAGAGACTAACAAATGTATTTGAGCATAAGCTTTCGTGGGCTGAAGCCCACTGTCACGGAGTGTGGGGGAATCCAGGTCCTGCACCCCTCTTCCTGGGATTCACTGAGACTCTCAGCCAGCCAGTAAAACGGAAGGTTTATTGGACAACAGGAACACAGTCTCAAACAGAGCTTGTGGGTACAACCAGGACCCCTCAGTCAAGTCCTTCTGGGGGAGCAGGGAGCTTAGACCCCAGCCCTCGAGTTCCCTGCGTTCCACCACCCAGCCCCAAACTGAAACTAAACCCCCCCAGCAGGCTCCCTCCTGCAGCCTGTCTTCACATTCCTGGGCAGAGGTGTTACCTCCCCCTCCCACTCCTGGCTCAGGTTACAGGCTCTCAGGTCTCCCATTGAAACTCCCCTGCCACATTCCCAGGTCAACACTCCCCCCTCCCTGCTGCGTCACACCCACTTCATCAGATGCATGTAGTGGAAAATACAGTAGATAGATAGATAGAGAACATGAAAAAATGGGGGCTGCCATACCAGCTGTAACAAGACCAATCGATTAAGGTGAGCTATTATCAGCAGGAGAAAAAAAACTTTTGTAGTGATAATTAGGATGGCCCATTTCAAACAGTTGACAAGAAGGTGTGAGTAACAGTAGGGGGAAAATTAGCAAGGGGAAATAGTTTTTAGCTAGTCTAATGACTCATCCACTCCGAGTCTTTATTCGAGCCTAATTTAATGGTGTCCAGTCTGCAGATTAATTCCAGTTCTGCTGTTTCTCGTTGGAGTCTGTTTCTGAAGTTTTTTTGTGGCATAATTGTGACTTTTAGGTCTGTAATTGAGTGTCCAGGGAGGTTGAAGTGTTCAACTGGTTTTTGAATGTTATAATTCTTGACGTCTGATTTGTGTCCATTTATTCTGTCTGGTTTGGCCAATATACATGGCAGAGGGGCATTGCTGGCACATGATGGCATATATCACATTGGTAGATGTGCAGGTGAACGAGCCTCTGATAGTGTAGCTGATGTGATTAGGCCCTATGATGGTGTCCCCTGAATAGATATGTGGACACAGTTGGCAACGGGTTTGTTGCAAGGATAGGTTCCTGGGTTAGTGGTTCTGTTGTGTGGTGTGTGGTTGCTGGCGAGTATTTGCTTCAGGTTGGGGGGCTGTCTGTAGGCAAGGACTGGCCTGTCTCCCAAGATCTGTGAGAGTGAGGGATTGTCCTTTAGGATAGGTTGTAGATCCTTGATAATACGCTGGAGAGGTTTTAGTTGGGGGCTGAAGGTGACGACTAGTGGTGTTCTGTTACTTTCTTTGTTGGGCCTGTCCTGTAGCAGGTAATTTCTGGGTACTCTTCGGGCTCTGTCAATTTGTTTCTGCACTTCCGCAGGTGGGTATTGTAGTTGTAAGAACGCTTGATAGAGATCCTGTAAGTGTTTGTCTCTGTCTGAGGGGTTGGAGCAAATGCGGTTGTATCACAGAGCTTGGCTGTAGACAATGGATCGTGTGGTGTGGTCTGGGTGAAAGCTGGAGGCATGTAGGTAGGAATAGCAGTCAGTAGGTTTCCGGTATAGGGTGGTGTTTATGTGATCGTCGCTTATTAGCACTGTAGAGTCCAGGAAGTGGATCTCTTGTGTGGACTGGTCCAGGCGGAGGTTGATGGTGGGATGGAAATTGTTGAAATCCTGGTGGAATTCCTCAAGGGCTTCTTTTCCATGGGTCCAGATGATGAAGATGTCATCAATATAGCGCAAGTAGAGTTGGGGCGTTAGGGGACGAGAGCTGAGGAAGCGTTGTTCTAAATCAGCCATAAAAATGTTGGCATACTGTGGGGCCATGCGGGTACCCATAGCAGTGCCGCTGACTTGAAAGCAGGGAGTGTGGCTGGAGCCCAGAAGGGAGAAATGGGAATCACCAGGCAGTGGGGAGCACAGCTCAGATCTGATTTCTGGCTCCCCAGGCACCCAGCAGCCGCCTGTTTGCTGGGTATCCTGTGCCCTCCGCCCCCACGCTCTGGTAGGGTTGCCAACTTTCTCATTGCACATAACTAAACACCCCTGCCCCGAGGCCACACCCCTTCTCTAAGGCCCCACCCATGCTCGCTCCATTTTCCCCTCACTCACTTACTTTCACCAGGCTGAGGCAGAGGGTTGGGGTGCAGAAGAGTGAGGGCTCTAGTTGGGGGTGCAGGATCTGGGGTGGGGCCAGGGATGAGGTGTTCAGGGCGTGGGAGAGGGCTCCGGGCTGGGACATGGGGTTGGGGGGGGTGAGGCTCTGGCTGAGTGTGTGGGCTCTGGGGTGGGACCGGGGATGAGGAGTTTGGGTTGCAGGAGGGGGCTCCAGGCTGAGGCAGAGGGTTGGGGTGCAGGAGGGTGCAGGGTGCGGGAGGAAGTTTGGGTGCGGAAGGGGATTGGGCTGGGGCAGGGGGTTGGGGTGCAGGAGGGAGTTTGGGGTCCAGGGTCCCAACAGCACTTACTGCAGCTCCCAGGAAGTGGCCACCAGCTCCCTGCAGCCCCTAGGTGCATGGGCGGCCAGGGAGGCTCTGCACACTGCCCTTGTGCCTGCAGGCGCCACCCCTGCAGCTCTCATTGGTCGCAGCTCCCGGCCAATGGGAGCTGTGGAGCCAGAACTCGGGGCTGGGGCAGCGCGTGGAGCCTCCCTGGGCTTAGGGGGCGGAAGGACCTAACGGCTGCTTCCAGGAGCCACACGGAGCTAGGGCAGGCAGGGAGCCTGCCTTAGCCCCGAGCCCCCACTGCACTGCTGACCGGACTTTAACAGCCCGATCAGCAGTGCCGACCAGAACCACCAGGGTCCATTTATGACCAGGCGTTCTGGTCAGAAAATGGATGCCAGGCAACCCTACACTCTGGGCTGGACATATCCTTACCTTTTGGATGCAGATGGCGGCCTGCTCACGGTCAAGCTCCTTGGCCCCACTCTCCTGGGCCCTCCTCTCTCGCTCCTCGTCCCGCCGGATCTCCCACATGAACTTGGAACGCAGGCGGCCCTGGCGCATCCGCTCTGCCATCTGCACCAGCTGCACGGCCTCGTCCCGCAGCATGGCAGGCCGGGATGGCTGCGGAAGCAGGGCACAATGAGGGTCAGTGAATCTGTGCCCTGATCCAGCCCATGCCAGCCCCAGCCACAGGCACCAGCCCCAGCGAGAGTGCCAGGGAGAACAAAGCCCGCATGCCCCATGGCCAGCCCCAGCCCCAGGGAGAACAGAGCCTGCACACCCCATAGCACGCCCCAGCCAGGGCACCAGGGAGAACAGCCAAGGGGGGCCTGCTGCACTCTCCCCAGGCTTGCCCACAATTCCCTATCAAACCCATCCAGGGCCAGTCTCAGACACCTCATACATGGGAAACACCAGTAACAGGAGGCCATGGTCCCTGGTACAGCTCTATATCCCTAACAGGCCCTGATAGAGCCCCCACTTCCTGCCCTGCTCCGCCCTGGGAGCACACCCGGCTTCACAAACCTCCAGCCACCCTCCTTTGCAGAACATCCTCCCCTCTTCCCCCTCCCCCCGCTGGCCTGATACAGACCCACCCTCCTTTCTGCCCTGCACTCTCCCATGGGCTCCGATACAGCCCTGCCCCCACTCCTGCATCTCCCTCCACAGGCCCTAGACCGTCCTCATTCCCCCTTCTGCCCTGCACCCACCACCGGCCCTGGTACGGCCCCACCCTCTCTCCTGACCCATGCCCATCCTGGTGCAGACCCCACCTCTCTTACCTGGGACTGTCCGGCACTCTGCTGAACTCTCCCTGCCCCTCCCACTGCAGGGCCACCCCGACACCCCACCCATCCACTGGGGCCTAGCCCAGCCCTGCACCTCCAGCCCCTCGTACTTCAGGTGACTGGTGGGAGTCTCCTCGGCAGAGAAAGGGGCAGCCGGAGGGCAGGCACTCACCCCACAGGGCATGCCAGGCTCCACCCGGGCCAGGATCTCAGACAGCACCTGCTGACGCTCCTTCAGGGCCTTGGCTCTCTGGTTCACAAAGTACTTGGGGATGGGCACCTCCATGTCAGCCTGGGGGGAGAGCACAAGAGCCTCCCCATTAGTGCCATCAGCCCCTGGCCTCACGGCCCCTCCACCCCAGCCCTCACACCCAGCCCCCGCACTAGGAGCTCCCTCTCCTGACCAGGGGTGTAGCCACGGGTGGGCCACGGCCCACGCACTTAGCATCCAGGCCCATCCCTGCAGCCCCAGCTCTGCTCCGGCCCGGGCACTTGTCCCGCTCCACTGTCTGGCGCTCCAGCCGGGGAGTGGGGTCAAGGGCTCACCCCGCTCCGCTCGCTCGGTACTCCAGCCTGCGCATGGGGGCTTGCGGGCAGGCAAGCCCCCATGCCCCGACACCGCTCCCCAGCTGGAGCACTGGGTGGGTGGGCAGAATGGGGCAAGCCTCCGCGCCCTGTCCCTGCTCCCTGGGTGTGCACCTAGGCTGCAGAGGGCCCTTGGCCAGCATGTCCATCGCCCCCAAGGCCAGCTGGAGAGGGTGCGGGGAAGCAGTCCCAATTCCTCCAGCCCCCACATCCCCTGTCATTGCCCACACATCTGTAGTCAGGGCCCACCCAAGTGTCCCATCCTGGCTATGCCACTGCTCCTGATGCGGCCTTCACAAACCGGCTGTTGCCACCAGCACAGTGTTATGAGTAATGGAGTTGCTATGATGCAAGAAGCTCCAGCCTCCTCACACCGCTCAGCCCTGCTCTCCTCTCCCCTCGCTGGTCTTGCTGGGCAAAGGGGAGCAAAGAGCCCAACAGCTCAGTGCAAATCTTCTCTCTCCTCTCCTCCTGTGAGCAACAGGATGTACCCCACTCCTGCCCCTCCCACATCCAAATGTGCCCCTGGAGCTGCCCCCCAAACCTGGGAAGCAAGGGAGGGAACCCCGTGTCTGCAAATTACTTGCTTAATTATTTGCTCCATTATGTTTCCGGGTACTGAAGTTAAGATGACTGACCTATAATTCTCCGGGTTGTCCTTATTTCCCTTTTTATAGCTTGGCACTATATTTGCCGTTTTTCCAGTCCTCTGGAATCTCTCCCATCTTCCATGACTTTTGAAGATCACCGCTAATGGCTGAGCTAGCCCATGGAGAGTCCGAAAAGATAACGGCCACTCCAATTGCCCAGACATTTGGCACCTAACAACTAACAACCATAGATGGCCCACTCCCTTAGGAAGCCAGTGGGTGTGACCAGCTGGAGAACAAAGGGCTAAGAAGAAGGTGTGACGGGTTGAGTCACAGAGATCCCCTTGGGACTGCCACCTGGTGGGTTGGGACTGCCTCCGAGCCCATTTTCCCTGGCAGCTTGGGACTTCAGTACCCCGCCTTGTTGGGCCAGACACAGTAGCCTGCTACAAACCCAGGCCCAGGTCCGAACCACATCCCCCAAAAGCTGCAGGTTTAACTGAAAACAGCTAAAGAAGTGCTGCTGTCTCCAACAACAGATACCCCGTTCCCAATGGGGTTCATAGACTCATAGATATGTAGGTCCAAAGGGACCATTATGATCATCTAGTCTGACCTCCTGCACAACGCAAGCCACAGAATCTCACCCATCACTCCTACAAAAAAAAAAAAACCTCACACCTATATCTGAGCTATTGAAGTCCTCAAATCATGGTTTAAAGACTTCAAGGAGCAGAGAATCCTCCAGCAAGTGACCCGTGCCCAATGCTACAGAGGAAGGCGAAAAACCTCCAGGGCCTCTTCCAATCTGCCCTGGAGGAAAATTCCTTCCCAACCCCAAATATGGCGATCAGCTAAACCCTGAGCATATGGGCAAGATTCATCAGCCAGATACCCAGGAAAGAATTTTCTGTAGTAACTCGGATCTCACCCCATCTAATAGCCCATCACAGGCCATTGGGCCTATTCACTATGAATATTTAATTACCAAAACCATGTTATCCCATCATATCATCTCCTCCATAAACTTATCGAGTTTAATCTTAAAGCCAGATAGATCTTTTGCCCCCACTGCTTCCCTTGGAAGGCTATTCCAAAACTTCACTCCTCTGATGGTTAAAAACCTTCGTCTAATTTCTAGTCTAAATTTCCTAGTGGCCAGTTTATATCCATTTGTTCTTGTGTCCACATTGGTACTGAGCTTAAATAATTCCTCTCCCTCTCTGGTATTTATCCCTCTGATATATTTATAGAGAGCAATCATATCTCCCCTCAACCTTCTTTTAGTTAGGCTAAACAAGCCAAGCTCCCTGAGTCTCCTTTCATAAGACAAGTTTTCCATTCCTCAGATCATCCTAGTAGTCCTTCTCTGTACCTGTTCCAGTTTGAATTCATCCTTCTTAAACATGGGAGACCAGAACTGCACACAGTATTCCAGGTGAGGTCTCACCAGTGACTTGTATAACGGTACTAAAACCTCCTTATCCCTACTGGAAATACCTCTCCTGATGCATCCCGAGACCGCATTAGCTTTTTTCACAGCCATATCACATTGGCGGCTCATAGTCATTCTATGATCAATCAATACTCCAAGGTCCTTTTCCTCCTCCGTTACTTCTAATTGATGCGTCCCTAGCTTATAACTAAAATTCTTGTTATTAATCCCTAAATGCATGACCTTACACTTCTCACTATTAAATTTCATCCTATTACTATTACTCCAGTTTACAAGGTCATCCAGATCCTCCTGTAAGGCATCCCTGTCCTTCTCTAAATTGGCAATACCTCCCAGCTTTGTATCATCCGCAAACTTTATTAGCACACTCCCACTTTTTGTGCCAAGGTCAGTAATAAAAAGATTAAATAAGATTGGTCCCAAAACCGATCCTTGAGGAACTCCACTGGTAACCTCCCTCCAGCCTGACAGTTCACCTTTCAGTAGGACCCGTTGTAGTCTCCCCTTTAACCAATTCCTTATCCACCTTTCAATTTTCCTATTGATCCCCATCTTATCCAATTTAACTAATAATTCCCCATGTGGCATGGTATCAAATGCCTTACTAAAATCTAGGTAAATTAGATCCACTGCATTTCCTTTGTCTAAAAAATCTGTTACTTTCTCAAAGAAGGAGATCAGGTTGGTTTGGCACGATCTACCTTTTGTAAAACCATGTTGTATTTTGTCCCATTTACCATTGACTTCAATGTCCTTAACTACCTTCTCCTTCAAAATTTTTTCCAAGACCTTGCATACTACAGATGTCAAACTAACAGGCCTATAATTACCCGGATCACTTTTTTTCCCTTTCTTGAAAATAGGAACTATGTTAGCAATTCTCTAATCATATGGTACAACCCCTGAGTTTACAGATTCATTAAAAATTCTTGCTAATGGGCTTGCAATTTCTTGTGCCAATTCCTTTAATATTCTTGGATGAAGATTATCTGGACCCCCCGATTTAGTACCATTAAGCTGTTTGAGTTTTGCTTCTACCTCAAATATGGTGATGTCTACCTCCATATCCTCATTCCCATTTGTCATGCTACCATTATCCCTAAGATCCTCTTTAGTCTTATTAAAGACTGAGGCAAAGTATTTCTTTAGATATTGGGCCATGCCTAGATTATCCTTGACCTCCACTCCATCCTCAGTGTTTAGCGGTCCCACTTCTTCTTTCTTTGTTTTCTTCTTATTTATATGACTATAGAACCTTTTACTATTGGTTTTAATTCCCTTTGCAAGGTCCAACTCTACTTGACTTTTAGCCTGTCTCACTTTATGAGACATGTTCTGACCTCAATAAGGTAGCTTTCCTTGCTGATCCCTCCCTTCTTCCACTCCCTATATGCCTTCTGCTTTTTCTTAATCACCTCTCTGAGATGCTTGCTCATCCAGCTTGGTCTACAACTCCTGCCTATGATTTTTTCCCCCTTACTTGGGATGCAGGCTTCCGATAGCTTCTGCAGCTTTGATTTAAAATAATCCCAGGCCTCCTCTACCTTTAGATCCATAAATTCTTCAATCCAATCCACTTCCCTAACTAATTTCCTTAATTTTTGAAAGTCAGCCCTTTTGAAATCAAAAACCCTAGCTGCAGATTTATTTTCATTAATCCTTCCGTTAGGTTTGAACTGAATTAGCTCATGATCACTTGAGCCAAGATTATCCCCTACAACCATTTCTTCTGTGAGGTCCTCACTACTCACCAAAATCAAATCTAAAATGGCATCCCCTCTAGTCGGTTCAGCAACTACTTGCTGAAGGAATCCATCAGTTATCGCATCTAGGAAAATCTATTATTATTACTAGCACTCGTCCTCCAGTCTATATCTGGGAAGTTAAAGTCTCCCATGATCACACAGTTTCCATTAGTATTTACTTTATTAAAAACATTAAAAAGGGCTCTATCCATATCCAAATTAGATCCCAGCGGTCTATAGCACACCCCAAGCACTATCCCAGGGGAGGCTCTAATAGTTTTCTTCCCCAATTTAATTTTTGCCCAGACAGACTCAGTCATATCCATTTCATCACTTCTTATTTCTTTACGTTCTATCTCATCATTGATCTACAATGCTACTCCACCACCTTTACCTTTATTTCGGTCTTTCCTAAACAGCACATACCCTTCAATACCTGTACTCCAGTCATGACTACTATTCCACCCTGTTTCTGTTATCCCTAGAATATCTGGTTTCACTTCCTGCACCAGTAGCTCTAGTTCCTCCATTTTGTTACCTAGGCTCCTCGCATTAGTGTACAAACATCTTAATTTTTGCTGTTTGGCCTCACTCACATTCTGTACCCTATTAGGCACGGTCATTCTACAGCCAGTAGAACCTATTAGACTTGTGTCTACACTGCCCTTCCTCCTACCCACGGCTGTATCCACTCTTACTTCATTTTCTTTCCTCTCAATGCTAAATTCTGGCGTGGAGATTACCTGGACATCTCCCAACCATCTCCCCCTAATTCCCAGTTTAAAGCTCTCTTAATCAGTTGTGCCAGCCTCCATCCTAGAAGTCTATTTCCTTCCCTACTCAGATGAAGTCCATCCCGAGAGAACTGTCCTCTATCCATGAATGCCTCCCAGTGGCCATAGATCCCAAAGCCCTC